CAACGGTCAGCTATACATCCACCTCTTCTAAATTATTTATTAACACAACTTTGGACACTTGACTGCTTTACGATTTTATCTACAGTGTGATCAACATGATCTTGAACCTAACCGTCGAATAGTCTATCATTTTTCTTCTCAAGCTTTAACAATTTGTCAAATAAACTATTAAAATAGGTCATTTTTCTTTTAATACTATTGTAGACAAAAATAATCTTTTTAAAAAATCAGCAACTAAATTAATTGTTACAGTTATTTGCCCATAGAAGATTTGGTTAAAGTATTCTTTTAGAGTATTGTTATGATTTCAGAATAAAAGATAAACACAAAGAATTATGTTTACCACAAATCATATTAACACCTGAGAACTAAATGCTGTTACAGTGGTTATCTTCAATTTTCAAGCTTTGTGTACTCATTAAACATTAAGCTTGTAATTTTGTTTACATCCCATAAGTGTACTATCTTTTTCTCATTTTCTGTTATCTTTTTTAAGTTATAGCAGTCATTCATATAACCCTCAATAACTTTTCTTGGTAATGATATTAATAATGATAAAGTTGTTATTATGTTGAAGAAATACATTTATGAAGCACTCCAAAAAAGTAAAGAATTTAAGAAAATCTTCGAAACATTTAAAGAAGTAAATGTAAATGAATTATATTTATAATTTATGTTTAAATAATGTATTTGATATTTTGAGCAATTATTAAGATGAAATCTTAATTATCATTTTAATCTGTTTCAAATAAATTAAGTAGATAAAACATCTGCCAAGTAAGGTCAGTATAGCTTCCTAACCGTTTTCATTGGCTAAAATATCAAAATATTACAAGGTATACAATTTTTCGTATGAGAATAAAAACTCTGGGAGAAGCCGATTCGGAAATACAGTTACCCTTCAACATTCACTGGTTTTAAATCCATGAATTTCGTTTATCAGCTAATATTAAAATGCAATTGAGTGCCGTATTTGAAGATTCCATATTTAATTATCCTTTATTAAAAAAAAATATCTGGTGTGTCCACTCACACGACTTTCATACCTATTTCAGAAGTTTTTATATCTTTACACATGTTCATGAAGAAACAAAAAAGAATTGAACTAGATTTTTTCCCCAGAAAATTGATCAAACAAAAGATTTGAGTACAATTTATTTGATAAACTAAAGCAATGTAAACCAGCTTAAGGTAGATCAGTGTAAAAATTTCAATACTCACTAATATTGCTGATCAAAAACTTTTTGTCATAGCTTAGTATTATCAAACAATAATTTCTGTTAAAAGTAGAGGAAATAGCGAAGATTGTGTGATACTTTTTTTCAGATTTTCTTACTTTCACTTAATCATCATTATTCTCTCATTCACCCTTTTCTGACACCAGGATATGACCCCGTAATCTTACATCGGAAATTGAATAGCTGTAACTTCGTTAATAGTTGTCCAAAATGAACGATTTTCATATGGCTTTGTAGAGAATTTCATTACCTTTCAAACGACGGAGTTTTTTTTCCGGACTCGGGGGGCTCTGAAACGTATAGATCCGTCGAAAACCACATATCGGAAATTTGACCCGATTGCAATACTTTCCTTACCTAGCATAGATAGGAAAGTAATAAGTTAAAAAATGTATAAAAAATAGAATGCTGTATCATTGCTAATACTGGTTCGATCCGATGCTTTTTTTTTTCTGTTTTGTTGCTAATTTAATTACCTTTCAAAAGTTTTATTATAAATTTTACTGTATAATATATACTTAGGGAGTTAGGCCACATAACATTTTTCTTTTCTTTATAACTTTTTTCCTGAATTTTTTCGGGAATTTAGTCTATATATGAAAATTGAAAGGACAATGATTAGAACATTATAGAAAAGTTTCATCAAAATCGTTAGAGCCGTTTTCGCGCAACAGTCTATAGAAAAACATGTTTTTCATTTATTGCATGCAAGCTATTGCGCATGGAGCATCGAATTTCTCACATGAAGCACAGGCATCAGTAGCAAAACCCTACAAAATAAAAAAAGAAGCACCAAAATCGGTTTAGTAGTTCCCGAGAAAATCTTGGCACAGACAGACAGACCAATGGCTAAAAATGTGTTTTTTGGACTCAGAGGGCTCTGAAAAGTATAGATCCGTCGAAAACCGCATATCAGAAATTTTACCCGATTGCAATACTTTCCTTACCTAGTATAGGTAGGAAAGTAAAAAAAATGCATTTACTACTGTTAGTGGAAAAGGTCATATGTAAAAATTCATTGTTTTGCAAGAGTGAATGAAAATCCATTATTTCTTTATGCTTTATTAGTAAAATTGCATATTTTATTCTCATTTGTTATTTTCCATAGTAGCAGACTACTTATATCAGTTGCAGACTACAAAATGTCACCTTTAGCACAAATAGAATAAAAGTTGAAAATTTTTACATACGACCTGTTGCACTAATAGTAGTGATATATACTTAATAGGTATGTTTTCACTCATAAAATGGATAGAACTAGAAAATCCATAATAAAAATTCAACTTGCTTGTTCAGAGTTAACGAGACCTTCAAGAGCTAATATGCCACCTCTATTATCACATCTATTATGCCAACACGGCTGATATACATATTTACAACCCTCTTAACAGATTTGGAAGGGCTGCACATGTACACAAAACTTCAAAAAAACATTGTTAACAGACTAAAATTTTGATTTATCCCCACATCAATAGTATTGTTCTATCTTAAAAAAAAACCCTATATATAGAATTTTAGTTTATTTAATCCAATTTTAAGGGTGTGCCAGGAAGCATTGAAGTGTTGTCAAGAAAAGGAAAGAAAAAAAACTAAGGTGTGTACTTAAGACCACATGATAGAAGTGAAAACATCAAGGTGGGATTTATAATATGAAATGTTCATATATACTCACATAAATAACGTATGAGCGTTACATAGCTGAGCTTGACGGCTAAGTCTCATTCAATATCTACAAAATAAAATGCTAAGCGCGCCTACAGAAGTTTTTACTTAATAATAAAACACTATAAATGCTGAACGCAATAGTTTGTTATTTGGTTTTTTGGCGCTATCTTTTCCCTTTCCGATTCCCTAACTACGCGTCATGTCAAAATACAACTTTGAGTTATAACTCATTACAAAGAGAATGAAATGTTGAAAATTTATCACACTTACAGTATGCAAGTCCAAATTTTAGATTATGAGATATTTTAATACAAATGCAAAAATTAATCGACTTTACCCAAATGAGCATCACATAGCTGAGCTTGACAGTTCCATCTCATTCAACACTCATAAAATTAACTGCTAAGCTCGCCCAAAAAAGTTTCCACTTCAAAAAAAAATAAAATTTACAAAACTTCTAAGGATTAAGAAACATAAATAAAATACTACCCTGCCTCTTCTAAATACCTCTGATACAGTGCAAAAGTGTATTTTTTAGGAGTGAAATAAGTTAATAATCAAGACTAAATAATTAATAATAAGACAATCCACGTATAACATAATGTAGAGCTTTATTATTAAATATCACAAAAAGGAGCAATCATATTGGGTCCGGCCCACCGAACTATAAAAATTGTATATAAAAGAATTATTACCTTAAAAAAATATTCAAATTTTCAGTGTCATGATTGTTAAAAAAAAAATGTATGGCAAATGCACTTGACTTATATTTGGGACACCTTAGGCCGGATCAGTAAGACAATTAAATAGAGTTTCAAAGAACACTTATGTAATCATTTCTTAAATTGAGTAAATTTTCTAAATGGCAAAATCTGATTATTACGTATAATTTTTTGTTATTTCTTGAAACTCATGAGATCTTCAGAAAACAGTAGATCAGTGGTTTTTCAAAGTTTCTTTTATCAGGTAGCACACGTTTTTATAAAAATTTACGCCACCCTTATTATTAACGGTATCATTTTTTTTTTTTTTTTAAAACGAAATGACAAATCATAATAGTAAATACAATTAACGCATAGAATTGTATTATAAAACCAACATCAATTTCTATAGATATTTTAATTATTAAATTTAACCCTTAATTTATCACCTAATAATTTAAAAATTCCATGGAATTGATTTCATAACCATTGGCCTTGGTTGTCGCAATCAATTAATGTTCCAATAATGCCATGAACTTTAGCTGCTCTGTTTAGCATATTTTTAACTCCCTTTCACAGAAAATGTCCCAATTAAACAGATTCGATTGCAGTTTCAAATTATTTTTGAAAAAGAATAAGACAAAATAAAAAATATATATTGAACAATAAAATAATTCAAATGTTTATGAAAAGAAGCAATCCCAGGTAAGAAGCAAAATAAATAAGTCTTTTCAATACTCTTTATTTAACCAAATTTCCAGGGTAGAAATAAGTAAGTCTGCATCCAGCTATTACCTGGCATTTAATTTAAGCTAGCTAATAAATGACTAAAATAAGATAAGAATTTAGACTGTTTTATAATGATAATAAAACAGAACTAAAGCAATGCCAAAATAACACTGGATGCTCAGTTTGCACTTTGAAAGCAAATTCTTTATTGCCCTTATAAAGCACAATAACTGTTATCGAAAAAAAAATATCACAGAAAATATCACAGTCATATTTTTTATAATACATATATAAATTTATATGTATTTGAATATATTTAAAAAAATAAATAAATTTTATATGCCGCATATGAAGGATCATATATTTTAGGAAGGGACTCGTCATTTTATTAACATACAAGTTAAAAAAAATCACCATATCCTACAAGATAATAAGGAAGGAAGTGGGGATCTTTATTCTTCATACAATTTAAACTAATAAACCTTACAAAAAGCAGTAAACTGTAGTTTTAATTGCTCCTTTAGCATGATTTCGTAAGATAAGGCAAATCACATTCAAGAACCAAATACTGAAGAAACCCATCAGCCCTAGCATAAATAGTTCAATATAACTAATTAAATTACACCATGTGAGTGCTTCGGGATAAGTTGAAATAATTCGTGAGTACCTGATCCCTCGAATAGCGTCCTGGTGGGCCATGAACATTTTCACATTGTTCATGTTAGACTGCCAATACTTGACGTAGCCAGCGTGATCTGCCGTCACCATCCACATCTCGTTATGAGACCAAACCATCGTTCGCACGGGCGTGTCATGAGCCTGTAGGTCAATAAAATAAATTAATGCTTAAAATAAATACAACAAAAACTGGAATAAATAAGAAGAATGATCATAATTCAACTCACCTGTAAAATTGTTTCAAAATTAAACGTTAAGCCGTTCCAAAGAGTGAATTCACCGGAGGAAGCACCTGTTACTAATCTACGTCCTTCTGGAGTCCATGCCATACAAAATATAGGACAGCGCATTTTATTGGTCGCTGTTTTAACAAATCTTGTAGTTACAGCATTTATGGGGTTATCCTCATAAATTGAGGGGGGCATCAAATCTGGAATGAACATTGCATCTGGCTGCAAACACCTTCTATCTCTGTAATCTCGTTGCCAGACACGAGCCTTTAAAATAAAAATAAATAATGATAAACTAAATAAAAAATAAATAAAAGAAGCATCTAATTTTAATTTTTCAGCTAACACGCAATAAAAATTTCCAGTATTTTTTATTTAATCAGGAGACATTTACTACCATTAGATATGTAAATTTGCAAAACAAATTTACTTTTTTATACATGAATTTATAAATACCATAATGAAAAATAACAAATCCTTCAGAAAAAATATAATGAAATGTGATCTAGAAAAAAACAATTATTCTGGAAATCAGGTCGCAAAGAAAATTGAACGAAAAATAGTAATTTTTAAATAAAATGAGACGAAAAGATATTACAAATACTTAAAAACTAATTTATGAAGAGAAAGCATGAATGTTGATAAAGAATGTAAAAGGGGATAAATCCCACATGACAGTGTCACAGATTAGAAAGTATTTATTAATTTATTTGTCATGGGATTTGAGGATACAGGTTGGAATTAGAATTTAATCAACGACTGCCAATTAGAGCCAACATAGCTTCATCACCATTTCTATTGGTTATACTTAATAAATAATAATCGGCAAGAGGAGCTGTTTACAAAGTATAGTATTGTCAGCAAAAAGTTCTTCTCAGAGAAAGGATTTGGCGAAATCAATATAGAACCGCCAAGAGATCAACACTCACAACTCTTAAAACTTTTATCTAATCAAATTATAACTGCAGTAGGTGTTATGCCTGTCTCATAGATTTGATTTGATGGAAAGATGTACAGTTTAAAAATGTAGAACGTAATGTGTCTATAGTATAAATACAACCTTCCTTTGCCAATATTCATTATATCGCTAACATTAGTTACATTGATTGTTAAATGGAATTTAATAAAATTTACAACAGACCTTTTGTTAACTATTTGCAAATTTTCTTTCAACTTTGGGCAAAATCAGAAGAGACATTTTTGAAATACAGAAGTATCGAGAAACAAATATAATGCTTTCCTATCTTCATATGAGGGATGTGAATATCGAAACAAAATATGTCATATCAATGTTTTTCAAATATTTTGAAATAGTAACTCAATTTATCTAAATGTTTTTAATCTTTGAAAAAAATAGTGATGTAAACGTCGAACAAAAATATCAAAACATATTGGTATTTATCAAACATAACGAACTATTTATGAAAAATTTTGATATTTAGGGAGCAGGATTAACACTGATTTAAAGTCTTAGATTCTTAATAACAACAATTAAATATTTATATCCTGCTTAAAACAAAAGGAAATATCAATTTATTGACATTAATAAATTGATACTTTTATTTTTTAAAATCTCTCTTAAAACTTAAGATTAAGATATTTTAAAACAAATTAAATAATTTCTCAAATATTATGTTCAAAAAATTATTTCATTATTATTTGCTCAATTTTTTTTTCTTTTGTTAAACTTTTTTATTGATTATTGGTAATCAAATTTCAATACCGATATGAAACTTAAAACATTCATTAGGTATTTAGGTTTATTTTTGTTAATTTAGTAATTGAAAATTATTTTTAGATCTTTTTTTTTTAATAAGACCTTTGTTGATGAAACTGGCTGTTTTTACTGATATTGTTTTCAGTCAGCTGTTCCCTACCAGCCATGTTTGTAACCATCATCAGGTTTGCTGCCTGAGTTTAAATAAGAACACTGCCACAGTTACACTGTTAATATAGTACCAGAACAGAAACTGTCGCCAAATGAAAAAGACTTAATTGATACATTATTAATCACTGCTATCTATACATTTAAATAAATTAATAAGTAATAATAATGCTTTCTTTCAGTAGAACCATTATTTACTTCTAATCCTCAACACTATAATTTCAACTTCAACAATGTCATACAATGATGGCAAGAATTTTTTTCTTCATAATTTTTCGCACATCATCAAATTTCACTTATTATAATTAAAACATTATTTGTTATGAATAAATGAATGAAGTAACTTTCATTTCTTTTCATATTTACAGTGAAAAATAAAACCAAATAATTATATTTACAAAAAACCCTTGGGGTGTCATATTAGCTTTACATTATTTGATATATCTAACCTCCATTGGGGAGTATGAAGGTTTATTAATTAATTGACTGAGTTAAGATGAACACCAGTGATATTCACAGGTATATATTTTAATTCAGATATAATATTTGTCATTATCCACAACTTTAGGTGGATTACAGCAGACAACTTCCACTCAATACAACTGTTCAAAAAGTATTGAACCAATATTAAGTCATTAAAAATCATAAAGGGATCTTTTTAGGAAAGGTGAAATACTAGGGTTTTGAACACCTCCAAAGTATTTCATACGAAATACGGAGCATACTATTATCAATATCATAATAAAAAAATATTATGTTACTATCCAAAATCACTTGCATATCATTGTCAACACGCCCACTTCTTATTGTCAATAAAGGTATCAATTAAACAAAATATTGAATAAACCAAAAGGTGCAAAATTTGAAAGTCTGGTGAACTTTTAGGAACACATAAAAATATACTGAACAATATGGAACCAGTATCAATTAACTATTAAGTCAAAATTCTGTTATATTAACTATTAAGTTATTGATTAACTATTAAGTCAAAATTCTGTTATATTATGGTAGCCACAGAACCGTAACATCAGTTTTTCTCAACAAAAAAATTTAATATGTTAATATAAAAATAATGTTTTAGAGAAAAAAATCAAAAAAACATAGAACACTATATAACCATCAATTCATTTAAACCCTATTACCTATTTAATAAACAAATTTCATCACAAGATTTAAAATTAATTATGAATGCGACTAGTAATGATGCATTCGTACTGATATGGTCAAAACTATGAATGACGTTCCTACAGATAGTATCATGCAACTTTACAACAGTAATGGTTACAACAACGCAGATGTAGGAGAAATCTATTCAGAAACTACAGACATACTACCCTTCAATTCATCACTTAAATAAAAATAATATGTAAATAACTACTTAATGTGTTGTTACCTCCAACATTTTAATAATTGCAGCATTGTAATCAACAGTTTTTCGCATAGCAGACTTTCTAAGCCTTTTGCCATCAAATTCAGGATCAAAAACCAACGGTCCATTTCCGCCCTGTCTGTAGGCTCGAAAAGGTTGAAAGAAATTTTGCCTAGCAGGATTCTGAAATCTTTGTGCAACATTTCCATTAGGTTGGTATCTATTCGCCGGATTGATATTATTAATAGGATTTGTATTTGGAGTGATGGTAATCATGATGTGGAATTCCTGAAAATAAAATTTAAAAAAAGAAAAGTTTTTAACCGAGATTTAATTAAAAATATAACCTGTATATACATTAGAAACGGAAAGAAGTTTTTATTAGTTTAATAAGGCTTGGAATATATGTTGACGATAAAAACGTTTTCATAAGTACCTCTAAAGGAAATGTATGGGGTTTCAAAGATTAATTATCACAAAACGGCATTTAGAAAACAACCTAACATGTTATTTGTGTTAAATAATGTAACTCCAAAAGTAGAAATATCAAAAACTACACTACAAGCTAAAGTCACTTTATTAACAGGTAATAAACATACAAAAACATGTTGATTTCTACTACCAATATGGCAGCCCCAGTGTTGCTAATGTAAGGTTTGATTAAAAAAAAATATATATTTTCCATTAACTTTTTATCAATCCTGTACCTAATTTTATAGTAATAAAAAAATATTTGAAGTTATAAAATTAAATATTTAAAGTTAAAATATCAATTTTTAAATCTGTTATATAATCTAACTGAAATTCATAAGCAGGGGTCCGCCAAATAATTTTGATATGAACTATACATCCTCCAAGTATTTGATTCTATTTAAATAACTCATTTAATGAAATCTCAAGTGATTTGGACGGTTTGCACCTGTTGTTACTTAAGTAGTTATAAACATAACGACGTAAAGACAAGTCTATTAATAGAAATAAATACTTGTTATTAACTACACCATATTTTCTAAACCGTAATTCAGGACAAGTTATCTATTCACTTCTAAGAAAATCCTAGAGTGAATTCAGAACAAAACTATTTTTTTTTTTTTTTTTGGCACATCAGTTCATAGAGGAGCTTCTAGTAAAAGAAAGATTAATTAGGAACATAGGGTTCTTTTTTTCCCCTAATATTATTTATTAGAAACAGGCATTATAAAAAATTATTTTTCATTTTATAGTTCATAGAAATTTGGAGTCACATTTAAACAAGATTTTCTTATTCTTCTTTGATAGCCCTATAACCCATAAAGGAACCTGGCTTGCGTCTCTATTTGGTGCTGCCATCCAGTTTAGCACCTTCAAATATTTTCTTGCGCCATGGACTACATAATCAGCTTCGGCCTTCCAACTCTACGACGACTAGAAAGGGACTCACTCAAACTTTTCTTAGGAAGAAATTTGTCAAACATTCTGGTTAGATGTCCAGTCCATCTTCCAAGCTTGATGAAGCATGATATATCCGTGTATGATATAGATCGTTCGGCTCCCAATTGGTCCTCAACCTCTATTCATTATACTCATGCCCACCGCTAAAAATTTGGCTTAATACTTTATGTTCAAAAATGTGAGAATGAGCTTTTCAGCTCTGGTTGTGGTCAATGTTTCCGAGACACAACACAGTATAGAATGAACGAGAGTCCTATGCATGATAATTTTTGTTCATCTGGTAATGAAGTTGCTGAAAAGATGCTTTCGCAGCCCAAAATTGGCAGCCAATATTATCCTCCTAATCTCCACTGCTACATCATTGTTACAAGCCCCTCCGGCATCTAGACGCGAACTAGTGGTTATTTATGATATTAACATCGGATTATCTGGTTTTCGGGCAACGCATGATTTGAACACCCTGCTCCTGACAAGCACTTGATTCACAATAAATTCCATCCGTCTTGCAGCAGCTTCAGAAACGCCTCGACTACTTGCTCGGATCTTTCCACAATATCTATATCGTCTACATATGCTAACATCTGTACCGATATGTTCCATAACGTCCCTGATGTTTTAACCTGCGAGAATCCTGTTGCTTTCTCCAGTGCCATATTAAAAAGTAGGCATGTCAGAGCCCTCCCTTTGCCTTACTTCTTTCCTGGATGGAAATACCGCTGACCTCGAACCATGTACCTGGACCATACATTCAACATTTTACATTGTCAGCTTTATGAATCTTATGAGCACTGATGAAACAGTCTGATTATGTAATGCTTTATAAAGCTCTTTTTAGTGTATGCTCTCGTATACATGACTTGAAGTTAAAACACGAATAGGTGGGCAAGTTGTACTCCCTTCCTCTCTCCTATATCTCCAGAATAGTTCGGAGGCTAAAGATTTGTTTCTTAGTTACGTCCCCGCATTGGCAATGTCTAGTCTCCCGTTCAACAATTGGGAGAAGTCGGCAAAATAAAATATTTGAAAGTATTTTAAATGCACAGGGGAGCAGAGATATTCCTCGATAATTATCTGAACCTTTTCGTGTATGGGACAAATCACCGTTTTTCTCCAATCTCCAGGCAATATTTCATTGGTCCAGATGCTGACCATCATGTTGTGTAGGTGCTTTACTAGTTCCACTGTTTCCTGTTTAAGCTGTTTCATTGGAAGTGAGTCAATGACAGGAACCTTGTGATTTAAATATTAGTTAAAATATTTTTTTAGGGAGAAATAAAGTTGATATTCGTTTTTCGCATCTCAAGCAACACTTAAATAATTTTTTTTATGGCAATCGGAAAATTAAAATTTTTTTCTACACGATATTTGCATTGCCTGGACCCTTCGAAAAATTTTCATCAACGAAACTTGTGTTAAAGAGAACGGCTTCACCAATCCATACAAAAATTAAAAGGGATATAGAGCTCTATATGTTACATAAAATGGTACATAATCGACTTTCGTAAGCAAATTAAAATAAAAAAATTAAAGTGATTGGAAAGTTTTACTTGATTTCTAATTTATAAAGGAATGAATTCTAAAAGTTATCGATGTGGGCTGGAATAGTAGTAATTCAGCTTTCCAATGGTTGTAATAACGATGAATTTGAAATTAAAATTCCTGAGGAGTTATGAATGTTTTGGTTATCGATAAGAAAAAAATCTTTAAAAAATCAATTATTAAATTTTGAAATTTTTATACAAATTCTTATTTAACTTGCCTTTTCAAAACACAAAATTATTTGACCTACTTTACAAGAAGCGCCTTTTGTTTTTTTAAACTTATGATACATTAAAACTCATTTAATTCAATAGTTAATATTTTATTCTTATTCTACACAAAAAAAGAAATCGATTGATATATAATATCCAAAAAATCCGCACAAAGCAAAGGCAAAAATAAGTAACATATATTCTGTCAGAAATTATGTAAAATATTTTTTCTCGGCTCCTTGAACTCGTTGGAACGAATATCAGGATATGTATCTAATATTTGTCGATGCAATATCACCAAAACAAATTTGGTTGAAATCGGTGACCCACAGACTTTATTTTTGAGGGAGGCCAAAATTTTGAATTTTTTGGGGGTCACATTTTTACTGGTTTTTGAATTTTTTTGGAAAGGAGGGGGAAAGTTTGGATTTTCAAATCAGATACAACTTGAAAAATATGGACCAGAAGCGTACAGCAAATGTAATTGTATATGGTCTACATTTTTCTAATTATTCTTTTGCTTGCATTGTTTTTAAGAAAAGGAGAACAACAAAATTTAGTGGGAAAAAGAGGGGGGATGAGATTTATGCGCTAAGGACCTTTGGGAGGGATGGGCTCCCCTTATTCTAAGTCAACATTTTGTTGATGTTGATATGTCATTAATTAGATTAATTATGTTTCAACAAACACGTTTCTATTTATTACTTTAACTTACCTATACATGAAATGGATAATAAGATAAAGTATTGCGATCGTGAAAATTTTCGATTGAAAATATACGTTTTGAACTCTCTTGAGTCCATATTTGGTTTTCTTACTGTGATACTGGTTATTTGGTTTGGTCACTAGCGGATCCAGGATTTAATTTGGGGGGGGGGGCTTCAGCCCAAAAGTTGTTTTTTTCATAAAAATAACGATAATTACTTTGGAAAAAAAGAAAGAAACTAACTACCTTTATGAAATGGTGTTTAAGTGATTCCTAAAGCCCTTTTAAATGTAATTACACGAACAATAATACTTTAAGAGATACTTTTTAAATATTTTTTTCGATAAAACATGGTTATATTTTACCATTTTGGGGGAGGCTTCAGCCCGAAAGCCCCCCCGTAGATCCGCCCGTGGGTTTGGTTACCCACATTTTGCGAGATTGAATATCAAATAGATCTTATCCACATTGATGTCGCCTTACAGGGCTTAAATACCCAATATTCAATATTTATTCCTCTAAAGTAAATGTAATTTGGTTTATTTAAAAAAATTATTTCACTTCTATTGACAGTGACAATACAAAATGGCCAAACATAAAGTATGAAAGAATTTGATAATTGACTAAAAGAGAAAAAAAAATGTTTTTTAAAGTTGAAAATGAATTTCCAAAAATAATAGACTTTAAGCCATGCAATTAAAGACGCAATCAAGTTTTGTTAGTATTATTTAATAGAACGGCACTTTACGGTGTGCACTGATCATAAGCCGTTGGAAAACTTTTAAGGACTAAGGCCAGATCAGATGAAATCCTTGGGGGCCTAATTCTTTATTTGTCGCAATTCAATTTCACTATCATTAATAAGAAAGGAAAGGAAAAGAAAATATCATAGCCGACTCATTCTGAAAAAATCCAGTTTTAGAAAATTTTGACTGTGAAAATGCTATCAAGATTGTGAACTTAATCGATTTACCTCAGATTTTAAAAGACCAAGCTAAACATCTCCCGTTTTTAAACATAGCAAAACGGACTGACTATGAGCAAGGAATGATACTAAAAAAGCTAAAAGACAAACTGAGAATATCTGTTTCTTCAAAATTAGGAAACGAAATCATTCAGCTTATTCATGAGCATTATGGTCATATTGTTCCAGCACTGATGATCGCCACATTTGCCATTATTACTTCGAGGGTCTCGACAAAGCTGTTCATAACTTCTGTAAAAGTTGCCAGATTTGTGTCACAATTAGGTCCAGCTACTGTGCCGTTCCAAATAATGTCACTTCACAGTGTTGGAGGGTTTTTTTTGGAAATCGGTCACCAAAGAAATATATACACATTTTGGTTGACCATTTCACCAGATATGCCTGGATCTCGATTAGTAAGGGTCAGAGTGCTAAAGACTATAAATTTAAAAAAGCATAATATTTCAATCATATTAGCCGACCAATATGCTGGTATAAATTCAACTTATTTTCAAAACTGCTTGGTGAAAAATGGTATACAGATTGTATATATCTGCATCGACCAGCCAGAATCTAATGGCCTTAACAAAAGATTAAACCAAACGCTTGTGAATCGTTTAAAATGTAAAATAAACGGCGAAACAAATAAAGCCAGCCGGATCTCGCAATGGAGTGTGTCAGTGAGTATAATGATGCAA